GGGTAACCGATTCTAGGAGGTATAATAGATAGCCACGTGCGCTAATTAAATAAAATACACGTGATACTTCAATCTAAAACACACGTATGTCTAAATGAAAGTATTAAACACGTGCAAATGGAAAGCGATTAATAGAGTATAGTGACAAGGAGACAACAAGGTCAAAATAGGACTTGAAAATAAAAGAGTTTACATGTGGATTGACCCATTGCAGAGCCGCTTGTATTTAAAAATCTACTAGATCTGTCCAAATTTCATTAGCATATCAATAAATCCTCTTGAGAGGAACTCAATGAAATGAAAATAGACGTCAACATTATTTGACAGCTAATTTAAAACATTGTATGCATGTTAAAAAAAAACTAAGGTCAATGTATTTTTTTAGATAAAATACATAGAACCAACTGCATTTAAAGTTGATGTACATCAAAATAAGTAGAAATATCCTTATTTGCCCATAAATGGTAAATTCTCAGTAACAATAATTGTTTTGATCTGCAGGAAATATTGGTTTAAATTTTTGAAAGAATATATAAGATGACGGCTAAGGCGACTCAGGCAGAACACTATACAACAATAAAGTGCGAAAAATATCTGTATTTCAGGTTTTCATTAGCGTTACAAATTTCTTGATCTATCAGATCATAATCCCTGCATAGTTTTACCCCATTCTTTGAATCATTTTCTAAAAAGGGTATTTTGTTGCACTTCGTTCCGGTTTGCGTCAACATAAGAATTAGGAAGACCCCCACATGCATATAGTTCTGCATGCAATACATTTTTAAAGTTAGTTTCCCAGAAGACTTGATTAAGAAATCAACAATTATTTTCTATATTTGAACTTTCACGTTTGTTTATACGAAGTTCTTTTATAAACCTTTCAGATATAGTTGTCTTTCCAGTCGCTCGTTGTTTTAAGTTTGAGTAACATGTAATAAAAATTGTCAATAAACTTAGACAGACATGTATTGAATATTTAAACTAATATATGCACTAGCCTTTATAACATCATCGCAAATTTTGTGGAATTTTGTATCTGGAAAACTATAATATGTTGCATGTGCTATTTTATTTCGGTAGAATTTAATTGTAGATATCGCTGCTTCATCACTGCGGTCATTTGGAACTGGAATAACGTCATCATCAATTTTCATTCCGACAATGTGTCGCAGGAGGCACGTCATTAACGATATATCCAGATGTTCAGATCGGAGTTCTACACCTAATAATGCAAACTGAAATTAATTCATTTTGTCTTTCTACATGTACATGCATCTATATAAAGTTGCTTTTTCATATCATTTTATAATCAATTTTGACTTATTTGAAAATATAGCACTACCATTTTTCTTATTAACCCTTACTCATGTTAATTATTGAAGTAAAAGTGCTTAAGACACCAAGTATAAATTGAAGGTAAAGTATAAAACTATGGATATCTGGACTTCTTCCCTCTGACTTTCAGATCGTTACTACTGGACACTCGTCTGCCTTTAAGACCGTTACTATTGGACGCTCGTTTGACTTTAAGACCGTTCCTATCGACCCTCGTCTGACTTTAAGACCGTTACTACTGGACACTCGTCTGTCTTTAAGACCGTTACTATTGGACGCTCGTTTGACTTTAAGACCGTTACTATTGGACGCTCGTATGACTTTAAGACCGTTACTACTGGACACTCGTCTGCCTTTAAGACCGTTACTATTGGACGCTCGTTTGAATTTAAGACCGTTACTATTGGACGCTCGTATGACTTTAAGACCGTAACTATTGGACGCTCGTTTGACTTTAAGACCGTTACTATTGGACGCTCATATGACTTTAAGACCGTTACTATTGGACACTCGTTTGACTTTAAGACCGTTACTATTGGACGCTCGTGTGACTTTAAGACCATTACTATTGGACGCTCGTCTGACTTTCAGACCGTTTCTATTGGACAATCGTCTAAATTTAAGACCGTTACTATTGGACGCTCGTCTGACTTCAATACCACTACTATTGCACGCTCGTCTGACTTTAAAATCGTTACTTTTAGACGCTCGTCTGACTTCAATACCGTTACTTTTGGACGCTCGTCTGACTTTAAGACCGTTACTATTTGACACTCGTCTGCCTTTAAGACCGTTTCTATTGAACGCTCGTTTGACTTTAAGACCGTTACTATTGGACGCTCGTATGACTTTAATACCGTTACTATTGGACACTCGTTTGACTTTAAGACCATTACTATTGGACGCTCGTATGACTTTAAGACCGTAACTATTGGACGCTCGTTTGACTTTAAGACCGTTACTATTGGACGCTCGTATGACTTTAATACCGTTACTATTGGACACTCGTTTGACTTTAAGACCATTACTATTGGACGCTCGTATGACTTTAAGACCATTACTATTGGACGCTCGTCTGACTTTCAGACCGTTTCTATTGGACACTCGTCTAAATTTAAGACCGTTACTATTGGACGCTCGTCTGACTTCAATACCGTTACTATTGCACGCTCGTCTGACTTTAAAATCGTTACTATTAGACGCTTGTCTGACTTCAATACCGTTACTTTTGGACGCTCGTCTGACTTTAAGACCGTTACTATTGGACGCTCGTATGACTTTCAGACTGTTACTATTGGACGCTCGTCTGACTTTAAGACCGTTACTATTGGACGCTCGTATGACTTTCAGACTGTTACTATTGGAAGCTCGTATTACTTCAATACCGTTACTATTAAATGCTCGTCTGACTTCAATACCGTTACTATTGGACGCTCGTCTGACTTCAATACCGTTACTTTTGGACGCTCGTCTGACTTCAATACCGTTACTATTGGACGCTCGTCTGACTTCAATACCGTTACTTTTGGACGCTCGTCTGACTTCAATACCATTACTATTGGACGCTTGTCTGACTTTCAGACCGTTATGTTTGGACGCTCGTATGACTTTCAGACTGTTACTATTGGACGCTCGTCTGACTTTAAGACCGTTACTATTGGACGCTCGTATGACTTTCAGACTGTTACTATTGGACGCTCGTATTACTTCAATACCGTTACTATTGAACACTCGTCTGACTTCAATATCGTTACTATTGGACGCTCGTCTGACTTCAATACCGTTACTTTTGGACGCTCGTCTGACTTCAATACCATTACTATTGGACGCTTGTCTGACTTTCAGACCGTTATGTTTGGACGCTCGTCTGACTTTCAGACCCTATTATTAGACGCTCGTCTGAGTTTAAAACCCTTATTATTGGACGCTCGTCTGACTTTAAGACCGTTACTATTTGTCGCTCGTCTGACTTTCAAACCGTTACTATTTGACGCTCGTATGACTTTCAGACCGTTACTATTGGACGCTCGAATGACTTTCAGACCCTTACTATTGGACGCTCGTCTGACTTTCAGACCCTTACTATTGGACGCTCGTCTGACTTTCAGACCTTTATTATTGGACGCTCGTCTGACTTTCAGACCCTTATTATTGAACGCTCGTATGACTTTCAGACCCTTATATTTGGACACTCGTATGACTGTGGAATAAATAACCACAATGTCATACACTTGTAAATAAGGGTTTTATACTTTCAGACCCTTATTATTAGACGCTCGTCTGACTTTCAGACCCTTATTATTGGACGCTCGTCTGACTTTCAGACCCTTATTATTGGACGCTTGTATGACTTCCAGACCCTTTTATTTGGAGACTCGTATGACTGTATGGAATAAATAACTATAATGCCATACACTTGTAAATAAGGGTTTAATACTTTCAGACCCTTATTATTGGATGCTCGTCTGACTTTCAGACCCTTATTATTGGACGTTCGTCTTACTTTCAGACCCTTATTATTTGACGCTCGCCTGACTTTCAGACCGTTACTATTGGACTCTCGTCTGACTTTCAGACCTTTATTATTGGACGCTTGTCTGCCTTTCAGACCCTTATTATTGGACGCTCATCTGACTTTCAGATCCTTATTATTGGACGCTCATATGACTTTCAGACCCTTATTATTGGACGCTCGTCTGACTTTCAGACCCTCATTATTGGACGCTCGTCTGACTTTCAGAGCCTTATTATTGGACGCTCGTCTGACTTTCAGACCCTTATTATTGAACGCTCGTCTGACTTTCAGACCTTTATTATTGGACGCTCGTCTGACTTTCAGACACTTATTATTGGACGCTCGTATGACTTTCAGACCCTTATATTTGGACACTCGTATGACTGTGGAATACATAACTACAATGTCATACACTTATAAATAAGGGTTTTATACTTTCAGACCCTTATTATTGGACGCTCGTCTGACTTTCAGACCCTTATTATTGGACGCTTGTATGACTTTCAGACCCTTGTATTTGGACGCTCCTATGACTGTGTGGAATAAATAACTACAATGTCATACACTTGTTATTAAGGGTTTTATATTTGCTTCAATATATAAGAGAAATAATACTTTACAATCTTGAAGTACTTGCCGATTTCATCGAACAATTCGAAAGATTGAATAGACCAGAACGACCTAATTTTAAAACCCAATATAATAGCAGTAGACAACATAAAAACAAGAAACACTTAATCCTCATTCTTACAAACTAGAAAAGATTTCGTTTGCAGTAAATAAATAGGTAACTCTTTTCATCATATAGACATTCATGAAAATTATCTTTTGTTTTTTTTTCCATTGAAATACACCTTTTTCACTGAAAATTCGTTATCGCAGTTGTAATAGTAGATAAGAGTAGAAAACGGTGCACTCAACTTCGTATTCAAGAAAAAAGTATTTATACCTTGTGGTGGTTTCAATATCTTCTTCTGGGTTTGACTTAATCGACCCTTCAGTTTGTTCCAATGTTTAAAAACTTCATTCTGCAGTCTAACGGGACTAATTTCTCTATCAACGATAAATCTGAGTGCCTGAAGTGAATGTTTACTCAATATAAAAGCAAAATTCAGAAAGTTTTCTTCTTCTTTTGATCGTTGATAGTTAGTTGATGAAGCCATGTCACTGCACGATATATATCATTCTAAAAAATAATGAAATAATGACATAATTGAATGCATTAAATTCTCTGATAAAGTTTAATAGAAATTTCCAATAAATAGGTATTACTCTTAAGTAACCAAACTTGAACTTATTCATTAAAGATTATGTTTTTCTGGTTTGGTTACACACTGTTTGCTAGAATATATATTTAATTCCATATTCAACCAAGTGTGTTATAAGTACTATACATACCATGGTTCTTACGAGTTAACAAATTTAAACACACGAATCCGAAGGATGAGTTTGTTTAAATATGTTAATGAGTAAGACACGTGATATATATAATTTGTAATATAAATAAAATGAATGACAGCTTGAACTAACACAAGACACTGATTATGTTACCGATTTATCCAATTAGATGGTTGCTGGCGGAAATCAGTATTGCATTTGACTTACAATGGTGGTCTGACACACATGAGCAGATTCTGGATCCAAGATTTTGAAAAAAAAAAGAAGGGGGAGGGGGCAATCAAGGCAAGATTACGAGTGGTACATGTAAAAAAGTCTTTACATTAACCATATATGTATCTCCATAAAGGGGAAGGGGCCTTGCTCCATCTAAATCCGCATCTGACAAGGATATTAAACATTATTCTAAATGACGATAAGTTTTGTTTTATTGATAATTTTCAAGATATTGTACAAATATTTTTATTTTACAGGTTGTTCATTTCATTTTACCTTTTAGCTTTTCGTACAAACGGTTTCGTTATTTAGCAGGCCTTTAAGTGAGCATAAAATTAAAAAAAAAAACCATGAAAATTACAATTATATTGAAGGCCGTACGGTTGCCTATAATTGCTTACATCCACTTTATTTGAACTTTGGTGGATAGTTGTCTGATTGGCAATCATACCACATCTCCTTATTTATATATGGAGCTTCAACCATGGAACAACATCAAAATGAACATGCTATACCATAGCTAAGCGCCGCTTACTTTCCTTTAAAATTCTAGCTGGGTTCGTGTTTAGTTATCAAAGTATGGTACAAAATCAAATTTAAGATAATAGACAATGGTTTTCCAAAAACACACTTTTCAAGCAAATTATTTCATTAAAACATCAAAAGAAAAATGCAATTTAAATTACAATTTGCTTTGAAAATATAAAACTGATGAAATCTGAAGCGATAGTATATCCTCCTTATGTCTTCTATTTTTTTGTTTGTTTGTTATAATTCTATGTTATAAAGATGACCATTAGACTCAATCATGCCGGATTAAAAAAAGGGTGCACTCCTTAATCAAATATCTATACATTTTCCGCAAAAAGTTATATAACTATTGACTGGGAAAGAGATGGAAATTGATATGATTAGGTAACTAGTTAATAAATGTAAAATCAGTTTCGGTTTCGAACTAGTTCGGAACCAGTTTGGAAGATCAAATGAAGGTTTTTCAAACTTTACAAAATCTAAAAACAGTTACTAGATATAGGAAGATGTGCTATGAGTGCCAATGAGACAACTCTCCATCCAAGTTACAATTTATAAAAGTAACCATTATAGGTCAAGGTACGGCCTTCAACACGGAGCATTGGCTCACACCGAACAGCAAGCTATAAAGGGCCCCAAAAAATTACTAGTGTAATACCATTCAAACGGAAAAACCAACAGTCTAATCTTTATCAAAACGAGAAAACACGTATGAACTACATAAACAGACAACAAATACTGTAATCAGATTCCTGACTTAGGATAGATGCAAACATTTGCAGCGGGATTACACGTTTTAATGGTACCAAACCTTCTCCCTTTTCTGAAATAATAGTATAACATCACAACATAGAAAAACACAATATAAAATATCAATTGGAAGGCTTAACTCAATCAAAAAACGTATATTAACACACAATGAACGAATTAATTTGACCTGTGACACCTGAAAGCAAATACACGGTTAATAAAAGATTACAAGGGATAAATAATTAAAGTCAAAAGTAAATAAACAGGTTTAAACAAAGTTAAAGTATGATATCACTGTGAAATTTCAAACAATTTATAGAAAATCATCACTTTTGAAGAAACCTGCGTCATATTATACACAGGTAAATGAAAATAATGAACGTATGTTTAGAGGCAACAAATTTGACTTCAGTTAAACAATTTCAGGGTATATTCTTAAGTTTTCTTGAGTCACTTTGTGCACCCATCGGTCTGATTTTTCGAGACTCTCATATCGGAGGGATCATATTGATTTCCAGAAAATATAGTATTGACTTTAACATCATTTAAAATGTGACTGACTTGTCGACGAGGATAGAACATTCTAATTATACAAAGCAGAAAACAATGGCGCCATATTAATTCAAAACTAGAATACCAGAACGATAGGTCTAATGCATTTAGATATAAGATTACAAAAATATAATAATAAACTTACATGTACCGGGTTCTATCGTCAAGGAAGTAATATGCACCATTCCTGACACTCTACACGTATCAACACTATCAGTATCACTATTTAAACATAATTATAACGAAACCGAAAGTAGAGTTGTGTTGCCTAATCTAAAACTATTCACAATTTTCCAAAAATCAATATCATGGAAAGAAAATAAGTCGAAATATGGGCTATTGTGAGAATATGATTTACAAACAAAATCGATAGGAATATCATTAAGTCGTACAATGAATTGTACCGTAAACTGAATCTTTCGCTATAGGTTCATTAAGAAAATTATAATCCATTTTGTTAACTATTCCCTAGATAATCCAAACTAGGGACGTGTAATGAAATGTAATAATTAATTGAATATGGAAATTGGAGAAGAGACACACAAACACAAGTTTATAAAGTATAATTGCCAATGAGACAACTATCCGTCAGAGACCGAATGGCGTATCTATGTAAACAACTATAATAGGTCACCGTACGGCTTTTACCAACGAGCAATACCCATATCGTATAAGCTATAAAGGGCTCCGAGTGGACAAAATGAAATTACCGTAACAACAAAAAATAATGATAAAGACATTCTACATGTACATAATGGTGAATTACCGCCGCTGTCGTTTCTTTTTAAGAGATGGTTGCTTGCATGCTTAATGTGCAGTAGCAAACATTTAATGCATATTCAAGACGAGAACACATTGAAAATATATACAAACAACGAAGATTGGGGAGCGTATGTTTGGTAAGTACAGAAATGTTGCCTTGAGGACCTCTCAGACTTTTGCATGGGTTCCTTAACGCAAAAGACTGTGGAAACAAAAGAACAACCTTTTCATATTTGATAACGGATTGAATAATTAACTGATAGTGCTTCATTTAAAACTTTTAAAACATTTTTTTAATAAAATCACATATTATTTTCATATTTTTATTCCCGTGATATATCAGTTTTATTCAGTTGAAAAGGTCTATATTTTGCTCATTAGTTTCTTTCGCAGGTTTCAACATTTTTGAAATTTGTTTTACCAAATATCTTACAATTACATCAAGGTGTAACTATACCGTCGATAACAATTGCTACCCTTCGCATTGCTGCATAAATACGCAATTTTGCTTTGTTCAAATTTATGGTCAACACAACAATACATATTACTGTATATGTTTCATTTGTTGTTAGAAGAAATGTTAATTGATGTTTTGCTTCAGATAAAAGAAAGTCTAGTTCATCCACCAATGTGGTAATATTTCGCTGAATTTGTTTATATAGGTACGTGTTATCCGATTGAATATGTGTCAATATGTTTCGAGGACTATAATAGCTAAATAACTGATTGTGGTCAAGGCAAGTCTTCAATATCGATAATAGTTCTAATAGCCTGGTAGTCAGCAGCTCGTCACTCCAAGAGCTATCATCCGGGTATTGTGAACACATATAAAACAAAATCGTTTTTATCCAGTATGAAGGATTTAAACATTCTTTGCTATATGCTTTGCTGTTGTTTGATTTGGTAATGTATCTTGATAATAACACCTTTGCCACACGCAATACTCTTTTCCTGTTGTAGCAAGTCAGAAATTCTTGCCATTGATTTCTTGGTAAATACGGAGGAGTTTCTTCCCATTTCAAGTATGGCCATGTTGGTCGCTGAGATCCACGTTGTTCATAATGTTTATTTGTATCACCAAACTGAAGGTTGTTATCCATATGCACTTCTATATATTTAGAGCTTTTAATGGTATAAAAACTTTTCGATGAAACATCTTTTATAAGTTCCACAAAATTAGAAACTTTGTAACATGATACATCATCAGCCCAAATGTTTGTCTGAATGTCCTCGCCATTATTAACTAAACCACTATATGTTGTTATCCCTTTATGTATTAAGACCATGTTGTCTCCAGCTGTAGATATTGCATCGCTGAAATAGTAAGTAAGAAATTTAATTGAGCAATATATGTTTCAAACATAAAGACAAACAAATCATAAGATTTAAAATTGAAACAAAAAAAGCCTACACCAGGAACCAAAACATAAACGAACAGACGTTAAACGTTATATGTTAAAAAAAATCAAGGCATATTAATTGGTAATTATTATATTTAAAAAATGGAAAAAGATGGAAAAAAAAACAAAAGGAAAAAGTGGACAAGCGTACAGACGATAATCACATTTCTTCTTTACATGAAGTCACGGCCTTTTATTATTATTCAGTGATTATTTCTGCTGCACCCCTATTTTTGACATTTTTTCCTATTATGTCTGTTTGTTTTGTTCACACATTGTTGTAATGGAATTATATTACCAGGTTCAATCCACCATTTTCTACATAAGTAAATGCCTGTACCAAGTCAGGAATATGACAGTTATTTTTCCATTCGTTTGATGTGTTTGAGCTTTAATTTGATTTCCAATTCAAGTAGGGATTTTCCGTTTTGAATTTTTCTTGGAGTTCGGTATTTTTGTTATATTACTTTTTAGATCAAAGATCACAATAAATTTCATTTCTGTATTTATTTTATTTTTACAAAGAGAAGTCTTTGAAATTATTGTTTAGAGAAAAACTTAAGTATTCATGCCGAAAAAGGTGAATAACGGTCAGACAATGCCGTAACAGGGAACATAGACAGATCAACACATAACGCTGCAAATGTAATAGGTATTTCAACTTTTCAGAGGATCCGGTATTTTCATTCATGATTCTTAATATGCCATGTTTTGCACCAAGTTAAATAATGACAACGACATCAAGTATAATTTCTGTTAAAACAAATGTCAAAAGCTAATTTCTCTTGGTGCATGCCTAATAGTATGTTTCATGTGCTAACGCACATAGGTGTACAGGAAGACCCAGTACCCTACTTGAACACGTTTTTTGGACTCAAAGGTGACCAGTCTTTGTCGCTATCGTGAAACACTGAGGTGGATATATATATATATACAATAAACTGTTGACTCAGAAATATATCTTGCCATCATGTAATTTGAAAATAAAATTAAAAATAGCTATACTTTAACATGTAAACTGTGCAAAACTTGCAAATTAAAAATATAACTATAACTGAGGGGTGGAGCAGATAATCTCCATGAATATTAGATGAGCTAATGCTAATACTACTGCATACAAAACAGCATTGACTGGCCATAAGCGTTTCTCCTTAATCTGACCTAATCACAAACTCAACATGTAAACCATGCAACAGATTCCACTTTAATAAATTATGATTGAAGGGGGGAATAATTTCCATGAAATGAATTGTGCTAATTCTAATACAACTGCATACAGTGCTTCTCCTTAAACTCACATAATCACAAATTTAAACAAATTATTGACGCCGCCACCTGAAAAAGCACACCGAAGTCTCGCCTTTGTGTCATCTTCAAGGCTTTTTCAATACCTATATAGCCTAACCCTTGACCCCCCCCCCCCCCCCCCCCAGTTATTTCTCTCTAGAAGCCCTCTTTTCTGTACTTCAACCTTTCTACTCGTATTGTCATGTTTTTATATTTGATTTTTTATAATTGAACAATTTCAATGTCTTATAATTTCCTCTAGTTGGATGATTGTTTTTGACCAAATTTATTTCAATCAGTTGCCTTAACAACCAAACCGTTGACAGGTGCAGATTTACTGTGATACTGAATGTTATTCTCAAAAGGGGCGGGAGCTTGTTCTATTTATAAATTTAGTAAATCCAATTTTTAGATAGAGCAGTAAATTGCAATTTCTGGAAGGAATTTTCTGGGGTTTTTTTAAATACTTTTTTTCGAACAGTCGTTGCTGTCTGTTGTAATTGTTTCGGTTTTTAGATATATCGACTTATTATTCGCCACCTTCAGCCTGGTTATTGAAACTAAATTTTGGCTTGAAATATGAAAACGTAACAGCGAATTAAAAAATGCGAAGTTATTGTTTATGAATTATGATTACTATACGGGAGACGGTAGTATGTTTGTGATAATTTTAATTTAGATTAAGAAGAGTTGCGTAAATAACCAATGGAATTAGAAATGAATACTGAAGTTATGAATAATTTATGAAAATTTTATCTTAAACTATAACAGCTAAAAAAATATTTTTTTGGATGAAAATGTATACAGAGGTAAACATAACCAGCTAGTATGATATCTCTTTATCTCTTAATAAATGAAAATAAAAGTTCTATAAACAAAAGTTTTTCTGAAACATTCAAAACAGTTTAATCACATAACAGCCGTTTTCAATCTTGCAACAATTACAGAGTTGTGTAATCCGCTTGTTAACTGCAGAATGCATTCTATCTTATCATAGGTTTTTGTGTCTTTTGTTTTTCTTGTTTCTTATTGAATGATTTTGTTTTCTTAACGTTCAGTGACAAATATTTCATGCAAATTCAGAACGACCTTGTGTTTTATTTGTTAGTAGTCTGAAAACATCTATGTGTTTTAACCTTATCTGCAGGATTCTGTGGATTGAATAAAGGAAACTTAAATCTCATTTTTAGTTGTTGATTATCTATTTTATAGGCTTACTTCGACATTCACCTCAAAAGCTAACCAAACCTTTAAACAGACTTATTCAGAAGAGATATAGTTACGATACTGTTGTCAGGTCATTAAAGATGGCATATTTTGGTATTGATATTGATTTACTCATAGGGTCTTTGCATCGGAAATAAACACATTAATTATTTATTCTAAAACTAGTTGTTGGCATGATACGGGTTATGTACTTCTCATATATTTTATGATGGTATGATACTAAACCCCTAACAGGAGAGAGTGTGCTTGATTTTCGTATGATGAAGACATAATCTTTCAATCAGTTTAATTGAGTCCTGGAGCTGGCATATCAGTACCTGCTAGTAGTCCTTTGATAATTTATGTATCATTGTCATTTTGCTCAATTTCTTTTGTTACCTATTCTGACATTGGACTCGGACTTATTTTAAACTGAGTTTTATTGTGCGTATTGCTGTGTGTTTGTTTATTCTACATTGGCTAGAGGTATAGGGGGAGGGTTGAGATCTCACAGAACATGTTTAACCACGCCGCATTCTTGCGCCTGTCCCAAGTCAGAAGCCTCTGGCCTTTGTTAGTCTTGTATGTTTTTTAATTTTAGTTCATTTATATGTTTTGGAGTTTAGTGTGACGTCCATTTTCATTGAACTAGTACACATTTTTGTTTAGGGGCCAGCTGAAGCCCGCCTCCGGGTGCGGGATTTTCTCGCTCGCTGTGTTGAAGACTCATTGGTGGCCTTCGGCTGTTTTCTGCTCTTTGGTCGAGTTGTTGTCTCTTTTACACATTCCCCATTTCCATTCTCAATTTTATTACTTACCCATTTACTCCGTTTTCTGAAAAACAATCGACATTAATATCATTGGCTTCAACAATGTTCTCTGTATGATATTTAAACAGGATGTAAATTATAATGAAGAACTTTGGATGACTTGCTTTCATTGTTCACAAATGATTTTTCGTCTTATGGGTAATTTGGCCATGTCTATAAATACATCTTCCAATTTGCACAACCACCATCTACACGTACAATATATTCTTATAAAGTTCACAAACTTTTCAAGCACATTGAACCTTCACTTGAAATACTGAAGATTATCGTATGTTTTTGTATTATAGTAAAAAATATCCAATTTAGTTATTGAGTTACAACTTAAATGTTTACAAACGTGTTAACATTCAATTGAAATGTATTGCACAGCAATATCGCAATGTCGGATGTTTACATGTAAACGCTTCAATAAACATAGATAGTTTTTAAAGGCAGTGCTTTAATGCCTTTCTAGTTGCCGGGTTAATCCTTCCTTCCGCGATATCCAACTTATCTACGTGGGGGGTCATTAGGCTCCAAGTAGATCCGGAAATGTTGAATTCTCTCCTCTTCTTATTGTGATATAAAATGTTTTTTGTTTCATTTCATTTACATTGGGAAATAGAGAAACGATCATTGTGTTTTGTTAGTTTTAAAAACTTTTGATATATTTGTATTTTGCATTATAAGCAGTCAACCGATTGACAAACTAGAATTATTTGAATTCCGTGTGGAAAGAGCTCGGGTTAATTTCGAGTGTTATCTGCAATCTAGATGTTTATAAATCATTTCAGTCGTTGATATAATAATTAAGAGTCGACTGAACATTAATTATATTATACAATTTAAAGCGCATTTCTGTTTATGCACGTGAACCCGTCTAACGTTATTGTTATTTCGCAGTTATATAAAGTAGCAAATTATCGTTCCTGAATAGGTGGCGCCGTGGTAGCCGATCCTGTTCCTCAACTTCCGGTTTCTGCACTGTGCAACTATTTCAGTTACATTTTAAATTAACGATGCCAAGTACTTGTTGTTGTGTACCTGGATGTCATTTAAGAGAAGGACATGCATTTCCAAATGACTTAAAAAGAAGGAAAAGTTGGATCAACGCCATGGCCCAAACGCAGATTGGACGAGAACACGATTTCATCGTGGAGTCCATCTCAATCAGCTGTTGTTTGCAAGGCACATTTTACTGAAAAAGACTACGTGCAGGAAACTATTCATGGTAAAACTCTATTTTCTTTTTGAAATATATAGTTATATATGTAATCGCCATGCGAATAAACCAAAGCCTGTTTACAACCGCAATTATCGTTTTAGAATAAAAGGGGGTGGTTAATTCAAAACGTCATAATTTTTTGGATTACGATTCAATGTGATCTGTTTGAGATTTTTTGGTGATTGCTACAGTTATAATGATTTCTTACAAGAGGTATATCATACTGAGAATTATTTTAGCACTAATTATGCTAATGTAGTAATGACAGGAATGCATAAGCTATGCCTCATAGACTTTCTTGAAAAATATCAATGACAATGTTAACAGGAACAAAACAATGACATGCTCTCATCAATATTATAGTTATTTAGGTACAAACAATGTACGTTTGTTGCATAAGTCTCTCATTGTTTGTCCTTTGGATTTACATAACATACATTGAATCAGGCAAACATAGTTTTATCCAGATTGTAATGAATAAATCTAGTTAATATTTCGCCAGGTAATACAAAGTATACATTGCTAATGGAAGTTCATTTAATTATCAAAAAACTAATGTTTTATAACCTTTTTCAGGGCGCAAACCCACCATACAGAGACCTAAGTCTACTGCCATTCCCAGCCTATTTTCCTGGACCAAGCAAGAGACTGAATCGTACGCAAAAAGAAAAATCAGGGCAGTTTCCTGTGAAAACAAAAGAACTAAACTTGATGAATATTGTAGTAGAAATCTAGAGGAAAGTTTTGATTGTAAAGTTGGTTTTCCTGAAGAAGTCATTCATACTGCAGAAAGGATTTATGACTGTCCACCACCAACTGCTGAGCTAATGTTGAGCTTCAAAGATGGAATTACGCAAACACCATCAATGTCTATGTTTTCAGCAGAGAATTTTGAAATGAAGACACTTGACACAGCCATGCATTTTTATACCAGTTTAGAGTTGTATACTAAATTTTTATTTGTTTTGACCACACTTGGTCCAACAGCACATTGTTCGAGATACATATATTTTCAAATTGATAGGGTGTCAGTTGAAAATCAGTTTTTTTATGACTGATGAAATTGAGGCATTATACAACCAACTTTGAACTTTCTAGATTCTAGATTGAATCTAGTGTTAAGAATATTGTGTATATACATGGATTGTTTTTATGCCTAAACAGTGGTGTGAGGCTAACACTTAGCCATCTAGTGGTTAAGTCAGGCATTTTTCGCCATCCAACTTCAAATTAAAGTTTCCTACGACTTGGATTATTATTGACAGCACAGAATATCCCGTGATAAAACTAAAGCTCCTAGAGCTCAGGCAACCTTTTCATCATATAAAAACAGAAACACTGAAAATACTCGTATGTTCGACGCCTGGTGGTTTAGTCAACTATGTCTCTACTGCATATGTTGGTTCTACCAGTGACTATGAAATAGTTGAAAGATGTAGAATACAAAATGTAGTTCAGTTATGTGATCCAGGTGACAGTGTGATGGCAGACAAAGGTTTAAATGTGCAAGATTTGTTTGCTAACTTTTTTCAAAAAAAGAAACAGAATTAGTTCCAAAACTCTTATACGGGATAGAAAAGTCTCCAATTAACATGTGCACATAGAGCGAATTATTGGACTTGGCAAAACATACAAAATTCTAACAAATCCTATGAATGGAACTGAAACAAAACTTTCATCTGAAATAACATTTAGTTGTTTTATGTTGTGTAATTTTAAAACTTGTATTGTGCCAAAGGATGCAGAAATAAAAGTGACGCAATGAATTTTGTTCTGATATATATATATTTATAATTACATGCACATGTAAATTGTAATGCATATAAAAATAAGGAGATGTGGTATGATATTCAGTGAGTTTATCGAACTAAAGTGCATAAGAAATGGGTTTAAGCAGTTACAGGTGTTACTGTCACCGTACAATCTCCAACAATGAGAAAAACTTGTACCGTGTAAAAAATTTCAGAGATCTTACCTCTAAGTTTTGTTGTCTCACCTTGACTTTGGTGCATTGTTTATATCTGTTGATGTAAATATAAAAAAGAAGATGTGGTATGATTGCCAATGAGATAACTCTCACAAGAGACCAAATGACACAGAAATTAACAGCTATAGGTCACAGTATGGCCTTCAACAATGAGCAAAGCCCATACCGCATAGTCAGCTATAAAAGGCCCGAAATGACAATGTAAAACAATTCAAACAAGAAAACTAACGGCCTAATTTATGTACAAAAAATGAACGAATATAACAAATATGCAACACATAAACAAACGACAACCACTGAATTACAGGCTCCTGACTTGGGACAGGCACATACATGTACATACAGAATGTGTCTGGGTTAAACATGTTAGCGGGATCCCAACCTTCCCCCTAACCTGGGACAGTGGTGTAACAGTACAATATAAGAACGAACTATAAAAATCACTTGAAAGAGGCTTAACTCATCAGATGGATAAATACAAATACAAGTGGATGTGGTCGGGTAGTTGTACATCCAAACAAGAAAAAGACAGAAAGTACAGATCTGAGAGTACTTGCAGTTACTGACAGCTAGTTCAAAGCCACTAACAACTGATATAAAAATCTTACATCTAAGACTAAATTATCAATCCGTAAGCTCCCTTTAGAATTTTATAAATTTTAGATTTTACATTTCTGAGTTATGGTGTTTTATTGGGATTTTCCAGTTTTTTGTCGAGCCTGCGACTTTTGTCGCAGTAAGCTCGACATAGGGATAGTGATGTGGTGGCGGCGGCGTTAGCTTACTTCTTAAAAGCTTTATATTTTAGAAGGTGGAAGACCTGGATGCTTCATACTTTGTATATGGATGCCTCATGTTACGAAGTTTCCGTCAGCCACATGTCCAATGTCCTTGACCTCATTTTCATAGTTCAGTGACTACTTGAAAAAAAAGTTAACATTTTTTGTAATGTTAAATTCTCTCTTATTATAAGTAGTAGGATAACTATGTTTGGTATGTGCGACCTTGCAAGGTCCTCATGTCCGTCAGACAGTTTTCACTTGACCTCGAACTCATTTCATGGATCAGTGAACAAGGTTAAGTTTTGGTGGTCAAGTCCATATCTCAGATACTATAAGCAATAGGTCAAGTATATTCGGTGTATGGAAGGACTGTAAAGTGTACATGTCCAACTGGCAGGTGTCATCTGACCTGGACCTCATTTTCATGGTTCAGTAGTTATAGTTAAGTTTTTGTGTTTTGGTCTGTTTTTCTTATACTGTATGCAATAGGTCTACTATATTTGGTGTATGGAATGATTGTAAGATGTTCATGTCTAGCTGGCAGGTGTCATTTGACCGTGACCTCATTTTCATGGTTCAGTGGTCGAAGTTAAGATTTTGAGTTTTGGTCTTTTTTTCTAATACTATATGCAATAGGTCAACTATATTTGGTGTATGTAAATATTTTATGATCTTAATGTCAGTTGCACAGGTTTTATTTGACCTTGACCTCATTTTCACAGTTCATTGCTCTGTTAAGTTTTTATACGCCCGTTTACGGGACGTATTATGGTTGACCGTCTGTCAGTCCGTCGTCAACATGTCGGACATTAACTCAAAAATGCTTTTACCAATTTGCATAAAACTTTGGTGAATTGTTTATATCTATTGACGTGAGCTCCCTTTCATTTTTTATAAAATTTAGATTTTACGTTTCCGAGTTATGGGGTTTTATTCATTAAAAAAAGGGGGATTTTCCAGCTTTCGGACAATAAGTCAAGAATGCTTTCACCAACTTGCAAGAAATTGTGGTGAATTGTTTATATCTATTGACATGAGCTCCCTTTCGATTTTTATAAATTTTAGATTTTACGTTTCCGAGTTACAGGGTTTTATTCATAAAAAAAGGGGGGATTTTCCAGTTTTCGGACAAAAACTCTAAAATGCTGACAGCAATTCTTATGAAACTTTGGTGAATTGTTTGTATGTATTGATGTAAGCTCCCTTTAGAATTTTATAAATTTTACATTTTACATTTCTGAGTTATGGGGTTTTATTCATTAAAAAAGGGGTGATTTTCCAGTTTTCGAACAATAACTCAAATATGCTGTCACCAATTCTCATGAAACTTTGGTGAATTGTTTATATCTATTGTTGTAAGCTCCCTTTTTATTTTCATAAATTTCTAATATGACATTGAGAATTAATTGAACTTTATTTGTTTATAGTCTGACAACAGGTTTACTAAGTATTGCACAACAGCAAGAAATCTTTAATTGCATATTCAATTCATATAACCAATTTCAAGATCTTTGACTACATTTATTCAGAAACCTATAATATGTCAAATATTTAATTACAATCCAAATTCAGACGAATCAAGCTTGAATATTGTGTCCATTTTTGCCCCAACTGTTCAGGGTTGGACCTCTGCGGGCGTATCTAGTTGTGTTTTGGTCTGTTTTTCTTAAACTATAAGCAATAGGTCAACTATATTTGTTGTATGAAAGAATTGTAAGCTGTACATGCCTGCCTGGCATGGTTCATCTGACCTTGACCTCATTTTCATGGTTCATTGGTCAATGTTTAGTTTTCTTGGTTAATGTTAAGTTTATGTGACAGTTGTAATAAAGCTTTATATTAAGGACTATCAACATAATATCAGTGATTAGTAAAGAAGGCGAGACATTTCAGCGTGTGCACTGTTGTTGGACAACAACTCAAAAATGCTTTAAGCAGTTCGCATGAAACTTGGGTGAATTATTTATAGCTATTGATGTAATCTCCCTATAGATTTTCATAAATTTCAAATATGACATTGAGAAGAAATTGAACTTTATTCTTTATAGTCTGGCAACAGATTTATTAAGTATTGCGCAACAGCACAGTTTATTGCACAACAGCAAGAAATCTTAATTGAATATAAATTCAATTCATATAACCGATTTCAAGTTCTTTGACTACATTTATTCAGAAACTATAATATGTAAAATATTTAATTACAATCCAAATACAGACCTGTATCAAGCTTGAATATTGTGTCCATTTTTGCCCCAACTGTTCAGGGTTGGACCTCTGCGGTGTATCCAGCTGCGCTCAGCGAATCAGTTTATTTCTTAATTAAGAACTCCTTTTTTCATTCATAAATTACTTTAAACTTGTAAATATAATTTTGCTTGGAGCTATAGTTTCTAAAAAAGTATTGTCATTGAAAGAGTTGACATGTTGCAATGTACATTTATTCTACATAGTTCTATGGTACCAAATCAAAAGTTTATATAAAAGAAAGAAGTCAAAGGTTTCCCATCAGTTTAGTTACATACATTTTTTTTTGTACCTGAGGTTGTTGAATATAGATCATTATATAAATAAGGAGATGTGTTATGATTGCCAATGAAACAACTATCATCCATACTTACCAGTAACAAACCACATTTGCAGAGTTAAATAAAATACAGTTGATAACATTTACTTATTTCTAAAAAGAACATGCCTAACTATTTTAAACAGTATTTGAATATCAATTATATGGTCATTTTTATAAACTTCCTGTTACAAAACTTTGAATTTTTCGAAAAACTAAGGATTTTCTTATCCAAGGAATAGATTACCTTAGCTGTATTTGGCACAATTTTTTGGAATTTTGGGTCCTCAATGCTTTTCAACTTTGTACTTGTTTGGCTTTATAACTATTTTGATCTGAGCGTCACTGATGAGTCTTATGTAGACGAAACGCGAGTCTGGCGTATTAAATTATAATCCTGGTACATTTGATAACTAATTTGACTAAAAACATAGATAAAAAAGGTACAAACTGGATATAATGCACAAGTTCATAAACAAGTGAGAACAAACGCCTTCATATAGTGCTCAGAATATGACATTCATAAAACTTGTTCAATATCATTAGAGAACTCTAAATCTTAAATACTGAAAGCCACCTCTGATAAGTACACTGTACTATGCAAGATAATGATATAACTGGACTAAAAATACACACAACCTGTAATTAACTGCCTTTACAGCGCTTTCGCGCTTTGATTAAAATAACGCCATTTTTATATCGGTGTTTCCTCATTATTTCTCATTACAGTAACCAAACGTCGGTTGTATTTCATAATGAAAAATAGGTTCTGAAATAGAGAAAATAATCATATTGAAACGACCTTGTGGTTTAGTTAATGTGTAAATTTTTAAACCACCTTCACATCATTGATTATTGATTTAATGTGTACGATATTGTTCATCCAGGTAATGTCACCATTCTCACCAGGTGATCTCTTGATTCCTTACCTAACTAAAGTAAACTAATAATAGATACGATAAGGTAACCCTGCATCTGAGCAACTCTCTCGACTGAGTGTAATTTACGACAGTGACTTTCCAAAGGTTTATTTTGCAAAAAGATATAGGAAGATGTGGTATGAGTGCCAATTAGACAACTCTCCATCCAAGTTACAATTTATAAAAGTAAACCATTATAGGTCAAGGTACGGCCTTCAACACGGAGCATTGGCTCACACCGAACAGCAAGCTATAAAGGGCCCCAAAAAATTACTAGTGTAAAACCATTCAAACGGAAAAATCAACGGTCTAATCTATATAAAAACGAGAAACGAGAAACACGTATGAACTACATAAACAGACGACAACTACTGTAATCAGATTCCTGATTTAGGACAGGTGCAAATATTTGCAGCGGGATTATACGTTTTAATGGTACCAAACCTTCTCCCTTTTCTGAAACAATAGTATAACATCACAACATAGAAAAACACACTATAAAATATCAATTGGAAGGCTTAACTAAGTATATTTCAAGGAGAAACCACAAACAATTCATCACCAACAACTAAATTTACATACTTTCGAGAAAGCTCAAAATAAATGACCAAATTGCAATATCATGAAGTCTTGTTGAGTTTAACATATGGTTTTGTAGTTATATTCAACCAAACGAGCTTTTGCTATACAACCTCAAGTTCATTTCACAACAGAACACTGACTTTTTGGGTATGTGCACGATACGGTAACGTTATCTTACAGACAAGTAGGACAGTCTGAAAAAAAATTAAAAGTGAATGTTAACCCTCCACCCCCAAGAAAAACAAATATAAAGAAAAGAAATGTAGTTCATTATAATCATTTGCATTGAATTGCACAAAATTACAAAGCATGGTCATTGTTGTTTAATTAGGGCCCGCGTAGTAGTGGGTCGCCCTATAGTGATCAGTCCGTCCGTAACAAATTGTGTCCGCTCTATATCTAGACAACCGTTATAATTTCATACTTTATACTTGACATGTATATTAACCAATACTAGAGGGTGTGTCATAATGTTTGTACAACTTCCTAGGTCAAAGTTCAAGGTCAACGGGGTCCACAGAGATGGCTCCCATCTCAATGATGTCTAGTCAGAACTACTCTGAATTCAAATGAATTAACCAAATAATGTGTAAACGCAAAGACAGAAAATTAAAACCCAGTTTGCAAACAATCAAGACTACTTTACCTGTTATATACTATTAATTAAGGAGATTTGAAACTCTGGTTTCGTACAGAAAAGAAACAAAACAGCAACAACATATGTAGGGAATAAATATACACATGTATATGTTACTATATCTGAGTCGGTGCCCTACGGGTGACATGGCAGTTCCTTAAGAGTATTAACCGTTCTGCAGGCATCCCTTTTTGTACTTGGCAAAATTTTATCATATTTATAATTTCAGTTTACTAGTATTAATAACTCAAATTATCAAAACTAAGGTCGCAACTCCCTCAGCAAAGTTGACTTCAGCAATTTTTATTGTTATTTCCAGGCTCTTTTTAGTTGTTGTGATAAATTAACCGCATATAGTTGGTCTTCCAAGCCTTTGTTTTCCATAGCAAACATTTATCATACATGTATGAATGTCGTTCATAAAATACTTGTCGTGTGTACCTTAATCAGTATTATATTTATATATATTATATTTATGTGTTCAAATATTTTACATCTACTACCAATTGCAGTTATGAAATCATAATAATTCGACATTGAAATAATTACCATTTTAATACGAAGCGTCATTATTATATAATTCAGCAATTATCCAGCCTTAAAAATGTATACGGTGATAAAAATATCTATATAAAGAAAGAAAAAAACTAAAATTAAACATTTCAAAGTGAAATAAAGTGTCACTGAACACTGGAATGATCCTTGTCTTTCATTAATTTTAGTAATATTTTTTTTTTTTTAGAACATGGAAGACTTTGGATGGGCATAGCTGACCATTGAGATAAAAAGGGAGATTAAGCTGTAGACACTTAAGACTTGTTCATTGGAGTAATCCTGATAAGAACGTGTCATTGCACTCAACATTTTAGTCAAAGATTACAACACATGCTGACTATATCGCGACAAAAACTTGTCAAAATACAAACGCACAACAAAAACGTATTGTAAGTCGTGTGTTAAACACAATATCATGTATAGTGTCCTGTTGGGGTCTACTTTTTCGTTGAATCTTTTCTGTTTATTGTACAGGCAGCTTATATTTAATAAAATTACATGCTATAAATTAGATTTTAGTCTTATTTTGCGAGTTAAGCAGTTTTATTCATGGTCACCCATCTCAATTTTATTCATAGCTTTGAGTTTTGAGCACAAACGACGCATTATCTCGAATTATATCGAAATCCAAGCGTCGAATAACACATAAGAAATTTGAAACCTTTTTTTCCGCTACAGTTCATCCTGCCTAAATCTAGTTCATGAATAACTCACTAAGTCTACATTAGTCACATAATAAATGTCTAAAACATATACTCGAGTTGATTGTATCATTTATAAATTAATTTATTTTTAATACTTGAAAAAGAAAACGCAAGGCATCATCTTCATTAAGGGTTGAGACATGCACCCTATGGTACCATCCACCATATTTGCAATTTCAGCTTGGAAAACACGTTTTTTTTGGCAATTTTAACAAGACTTGCGGGGATTAACCGTTTTAATCAACAATTTTGAAATACAAGGAATTTGAAAATAGTTATGTTTACATTAGTGTCGTTTGATGTAAACCAATTAAATATCAAATGGTTTAAATCGAATGAAACATTTCGAGAAAAACAGGACGTTCAAAATGTGGTTTTCTTCGTCATGGTTAATAGAATTTTTATATAAATAGAAATACTAACTAATTAAAAACAAATCCTGTTTTTATTTCTTCCACTGGATAACGTATGATTATGTAGGTATGATTAAGAATATATTGATAGAAAATAATACGTAAAGTATTTTAAATTGTATAATTCTAAATTTAATAATTGTCTCTTACTTAGACAACTGTAATACACTACTATCTTCATCATCAGCTAATATGGTTATTGTTGAAGTATATGTCTGTTTCATCTACAGGGGATCTAGTTATATTTCGAAATATCTGCTTCAAAAATAATTTTTAATTTCAGCTAAATATGATTAGTTTTTTTTTTTGTTTTGCTACGAAGGCATTTTGTTTAATATGACATTTCTGCAGGAAACGTTCTCTGTTTGCTAGTTAAAATGTTAAAATGTCTAAAAGAATCTGAGGGACAAAACAGTCCACAAATATATATTCCGTAACCCAACATATCTGATGTTAACGATTTTTATACCAAAAATTCAAAATTATATATACTTTTTAATGGGATGAGGGAGGGGTACATTCATTGTTGGCTTTCTGATGGTTTTTTTATGTTTTCCTGGGGGGGGGGTCCATTTGTTGTTAAGTTGTTGTCTTATTGACTTCTCTTTTTACACGTTTCTTTATTTTCTATAAGTTCAGACGTAAATGATGATTCTTAAGTATTTGTAAGAACCCATAGCAACCATTAGGTTAATGTATACAACTTGAAAGTTTTAGTTCGTCCGGTCATTAATTAGTTTTCATTCATTTCTTTTGTTTGTTTGTTTTTTTTTTCTTTTTTATTATCTTAGGGCATGTAATAGCTTACTATACGGTATGGGTTTCGCTCATTGTTGAAAGCCGTACGGTGAACTATTATAGTAATTTACATCCACATCAGTTGACTACTGGTTGTCTCATTGGCAAGCATACAACATCTTTTTGTGCTTATATTGCTTAACCGGTTAGGACCTCAACCCTTTGTAAATATGTGAATTGAGTTGTGAAAGTTATGTATTTCTTTTTTTATTTATGAAAAAAAGTGAATCGAATAAATCAAAAACATAATGATGAAAAATGTAGAACAAACTTTACTTTTAAATTTAATTTCAGTCTAAGTAGTTTAATTAGTACGATACAATTGCTCTCTATCCTATGATCCTATTTCTGTTAATAAGAGTGGCGTCAGTTATTAAGTCCGTTGATAAATATTTATTTTCTGTACATAGTCAAATATATGAAAGTTACAAATTGTGAAAGCATGAATTTCTATAAATAAAAATTACTCATCATAAAAACATTTCGTAAAGTTATCTTAAGTTTTTGTTGTTTAAACTTCAAATCGTAATTGTTGTACTAAGTAAGTCACATACTTCGTAAATGAATGATACAAATATAATAGATAATGGTCTCTGGTCTCTACCAGATCTTCCTTTTTGCGGTGAACCCCCTGAGGGGGTGTCACGGTTATATATTGGTGAGTTTTGGAAGTGTCTATGGGCCATTCGATATCCTCAGAATCAAGATTCTCGGAACGTCTCGAAAATTTTCTATCAATTATACAGGTAGTTATCTATGTCTTTGATTTGGTCCCTCTATGGATAGGCTACTACGTGACATTGTATATTTGAACAATCAAAGTTCATTTGTAGATTGGATAGTAAAACAATAATGACTAGATTGCAGTCAAAAAATCATTATATGTTAGAACCTATTTGCCTTTTGACAAAACAACTGTGTTTTAAATAATGCGAATGTTTATTAAATATCAAGTATTATGATAACGCAATTATATAATTCATGCTTTGAGACGATCCCTGTACGCGTTGTGTGTGCAGTATTTAATACAGCGTGCTGTTGTGCATTGTGACAATAAACCTGGGAATAGTGTATTGATATATAATGTCCCAGAACAAACTGATTATTTCTGAACGTTTATCATTTGATAATTTGTATTTCAATCATAGCATAAGAAAATTTTGGAAAGCATGAAGAAAATTAAGAAAATGATATTTCTGTTATAAATATTTATCTTAGGTCGGAAACACAGTGGTCGAAAAGCAAAAAGATAATTAAATAAAAGGATTTTTTTTGTCAAAAATATTTAATTTCATTAATAGATACTACCAGACCAAGATAATATTCCTTATTAAGTTTAAACTAAGACTAAATTTATTCTTAATAGAATATAAGGAAAATTGTCATATATACGTGCATTATCTCTCACAGGTTTGAACAGTCATTACATTTATGAAAATTATATGCAACTTTTGAGCACAAATGAGCAGGGGTGCGTACCCAAAGTTAGCTAAATATCTAAATTTTAAACGGTCGTGAATGAAAAAAATACTTGCATGGTTTCAATTCACAAGGATTTTAAATCCTTGCATCTCACAAAAAAAAAACGTAATTAATATTTTTAATTTACAATAATCATAACAAAAATTTAATTACAATGTTAATCATTTTATACTGTTTAGTGTGGATCTATAAGTCTCTGCTTATATTTTGTATATAAGCAATATATTAATGTAGTGGAATGTTAGACTTCAAGAAGAGATTGATTTGATAAATAAAATGTCCATCCGTTAATACTTGACGTTTGTGTTTATTGATATTATATTCTAACTTTTTTGGAAAAAAATCATAGATAGGAATGTATGTTAATTATAAAATTTCAATACTTTTTTTAGTTTGTTTGTTTTAATAGTTCAACATTAAAGCATCTTAATATTTGTACTATGGTACGATTTTGAAAAGTTTATTCATTGTGTTGACCAGCTATCCTAACTATCTTGGTTCATTCACATTATATATCATTCTGTTCACAAGCACACTATCGGTTTGCTTCAAACACAAATTCCGGATTGAATGACAATGACACCGGAGTCAAAACACTTGAGGTAGGTAGTTTGACATCCGAATTCAACTATTATATTAATATATGTTTCGAAATTTTGGGTCCTGAATTCTTTTCAACTACCTTCTTTATTTGGCCTTTTAAACTTTTTTTATTCGAGCGTCACTGATGATTCTTTTTAGAATTAACTCGCGTCTGGCGTTTAAAATTTGTATCCTGGTATCTTTTTATATCTACATATCTTTTTATATAAATTGTTTTGTTTGAGAGTATGTTCAGGTATTCATAAAACTTCTGAAAATAAGATATTCTTCAAAACCAAGTTTTCCTTAGAATATTTGGATTGATTAAAGTAAAATCAGGAAATCTGTAAAATTTGTGATGTTTTATGAGACCAAAATAAGTCTCTATATAAATGATCCCAAAAAAGCTGGTGTGTTACTCTCTACAAAAATATACGAAACATTCTTATAAGTTGCATGCCACAGGGTTTCACTTAACATGGAAATTGGACTTTAAATTTATCTATACAACATCTACCATGAGTACAGACAGCTTCAATAACGAGTTAAGAATAATTGAAGGCATCCAGGAAACAAAATATGAAGATATGATAGATAGAATAAATGCATAATCCAGATTATAAAGCAAACTGAGTGCTTACATTTATATTGCGATTGATTTGTGCAATTTGCACTAGACATCCGATTTGCAGAAACTGGGGTTGCAATAGGATTATGAAAAAATTGTGTACACTCCCAAGTAATAAATAAAATAGTCGAACCTTAAAATGTATATTCAGATAGTAGCTGTATATATACACTTTTCTATTCACAACTATCCAACATTGCTCACAACTGACTTGTGCAAGAATCTACACACAATTACATATTCTTGATAAAGGTGTTTTAACATGATCATTATTTTATTCTATTCACAGACAATTATTTCAATTCAAAAGCAAACAAAAATTTAGCAACAATTTTTGGTGACCAGTCAGCGGTCTTTGGTTCACGTATTGCTTTTCTTTTTTTAAAGAAAGCAACTTGTTTTATAATTAGTTCAAATAACGCCTTATACTCATAGTAGAGTAAATTGTGAGCAAAGTACATTTGAACAAAATGTGTCCAATTCATTTTACTGATTGCAATAAACATCTATATATATAAAACATTAATTGTATAAGTAAAATCAATAAAGGTAAATAAAATTGAGAATGGAAATAAAGGTGAATGTCTCTTTGGGGATTAACTGTTCTTATGTGTAGTCTAGTGATGTAATATATTTAAAAGTACATAGCAATTAATACATATATACATGCCTACGTCCTCCATTTCAGGGAATATCTTTTTAAGTATATACATGTTCATGTGTATATTATTTTATGAAGAATACGGCATTTTTTTACAGGGGATTTACCGTTTTATTTTACAATTTGAAATTAATTAGACAGTCTCGTATCCGCATGCATAAAAGTGCATGTTAGATTCATAAAAGATAAGAAAAAAATTTAAATCAAATTAAATATTTCGAAAACAGATTTTCCGGATGTTTTAAATTGCTTTTACATGGTACATGAGCATTTAACATAAAACGAAGAACATACAATGAAATGTAACGCTAATGATCGAATGAGAAGGTATAAATGAATGAGAAAAAAAACCCACACAAAATAATTTTAAATGGTTTATTGAGATTTGAGAATTGCAAGACAAAGTATAGTCATAGTAAGTGTAAGCAATGTTGTGCCACTCAATTAATACTCATAATTATCCACACCTTTTCTCTGAATGGAAAAAGATTATCCACTTGTTAAATGATGTTTTTCATATGAAATTAATTTCAAACTATCATCTAACAATATCCAAATAAGTCCAAAGTTGCAACCGTTTATCGCATTTGTAGAGTTCCTGATTACTCCGTACTCCGTACTCCTATTCCGTATGATGACGAGTTAATAAAATCCGTTTTAAAATAGCTGAAGCATACATTTTATTCACACATTTGTTTCCAACTCATCAAAGTTCAATTTGGAAGACAGTAATATTGCATAATTGATCTAGTTATCGTGCGTTACTGATATATGTAGCATAATTGTGCAAATAAATCAGGACACAAATATGAAAGGTTCATTGGTAATCATTTTACTGGGTTGTGTTTTGTGTACTGTTGTTGGTCTTTTTTGTATTTTTCTATTTTTGTCTTGGCGTTGTCAGTATATTGTAGACTTTGAGTTTGAATGTCCCTTTTGTATATTTCGCCTCTCTTTTTTTTATTTCATCTGTTTATAAGATTTTGAATTATTCATAACACTAAGGGTATCCTACCCCCAAGCATAGATGGCCTAAGTCGTATTTAGCACAAATTTTTGTCATTGTTGGCTTGATATGCTCTTCAACGTCGTGTTTGATTTGGTCTTTAAACGATAGTTTCTTGGAATGTAACTGATGAGTTTTGTTTAGCGGAATCGCGCGCCGGTGGGAGGAAGTTTTAATGCTTGTATTTTTAAAGAGTTTTTACAACCACAAGGTCGATGTCACTTCTGTCATTAAAAGATACGTTTAGTTCCTCCGGGTATCAAAATCCCAGTGGTCATAGGACTATATATTGACAAAACATATCATTGTTATTGAATTTTCTGTAAATTTTTTGTTTTTAAAATTTTGAACTATTCGAAACACTAAGATGTTAAGATGTTTCTACTCCAAATCATAACTTTAGCAGTATTGTTCACATTTTGTTTTTATGAATTCTTGCTTGGCTTAATCGTCTTTTTTAAAATTCGTGTTTGATTTGATATTTATTTACATTGTTCTTACACGAACGTCACTGACGAGTCTTGTGTAAACCTGGTATCATTGATGAGTTTTTTTATCCCACCTTTTTACGTGTTTGTATAATAATATAATTCGATATGGTAAACAGTTACACACAGTATTACTCTTTAATTACACTAAAAAAGTTCAATGTGTGTTTGTTTGTTTATTTCTTACAAAGAAGAAATGGAAATTGACAAGGTTTACACGAAAGTTGTTCTCACTAATAAGAAATCCAATGCACAGACATTTCATACTTAGCTATTTTCTCTTGACGTTCAGTACATACTATCAGGGAAATTCACTCTAAGTTCTAACGCTATAATCCAAGTTTAAAATTTCGAAAAACAGCGGAAGTGCAGTAATAATTTATGAATTAATGCAAGGAAACCTATCGTGGATCATATTTTAAGTTTCAAATACTGAAAAAAAATAATAAATCATCCTGGAAAATAAAGGACATCATATAACACATGACATCATAATATAGCATAGTTTATAAACAAAATTATTTACTGCCACTATTCAAAGTCATAACACAAATCAAACACATACTGCAATGACATTGTATACAAGTTCACATACTAAACTCCAATCGGGCAGTGGACATAAAATATTTCAGTTGAGCATACTTTCCTTATAATCATTATTATTATTATAATCATCATTTATTTTTTGCAGATTTAAAATGTGTGACAGCTCTAGCGAAGATGACACCGGTGACATTATATCAAATGCATTCAAATGTTGTCGGATCCTTTTTAAGTGTTGTATGTATTTCATTTAAAGTCACCCATTTTCTCATTTTAATTTTGCTATAATCACAAAATGTTTTGGCTGTATTATTTATGTTAAAATCATAATGTTATATAAAATACTCTACTGGTAGTGCAACAATATTTATCGTCTACTTACATCACATCTTTGATTTATTGCTGCATGTAAAGGATTTGAAATTAACGTTTTACATTATGTTTCTATTTATAAGAATAATTAAAAATATAGATATAAGGAGATATGTAGTACACACCATTCATTAGGCAACTCAAAGACGCAAACAAAAACAAACGATGTCTAAAGTTGTCATACGATCTTCAGGAAATGCCAAGAGCTGTATATAATATGCCACCAATACAAGCTTTAACAAGATTCCTGACATTTAACATGCACGAAACTTTATAAGGGATTTTTTTTTAGATCTCGATCTATGCATTATAAAATGTTAATTAATCAAAGTACACTATAAATCTGATCAGAAAACACTTTCACTCTATAGTCCAAGTATATTGAAAAACAAATAAACACATATAGGTAAAAACAATACCCAGGTTAGATTTCAATTTCAAAGAGAGTTCCGTATTTTTCTAAAAATTACCCACTTCATAAACTGTAATCAAGATGTGTTATTTAAAAAAATATCAGTAAAATTTGTATCTTTAATGTAATTAAATGCTTTAAAAATCCAGTCACTGGGTTATTACCAAGTGAAATATCATTTCAATTCGCAAAATACGTTTCCCGAAATTTCCTCCATCAAGTAAGATCGTGACCAAAAGTTTGGAGGCTAAAAATATAAAACGCATTTGAGAGTTTATAATCAAAATGCTTAAACAGAACGTAAAAGATCGCCTAAGGTCAACTATGGCCCGATGGATAGTCAACCTTACTTCACAACAATTATAAAAGAAGTAACAGTTTAAATTAACTGTTTAAACAAATAGGTATCAGTTGTTGAAATCAAATCCGCCTGGAGGGATCTATCGAAAAGTCATTCATATGCATCAAGCTACTTGTATTTCATGTGAACAAATTTAGGGTAAAAAAAGAATTTTCAATGGATTAAACGCTAACACCCATGATTTAGTTATCCATGGAAGGGTTCATTTCAGTTATGTTTAACGAAGGGAAAAAAAACAGGTAAAAGCCTTCAGAAGTCAACAGTAGTTAAACCTGTGTTCATATCTCATAAATTGATTGGAAAGAGACAAATCAAGTTAAAAAAAAACACTCACAAAAACTAACGAAATCGCATGAATTCCAAAGGAACGAGACCAGATGCGTCTATAAGGTAAACGTCTTCTCTATGCATTCCTTATCCGTCATGTGAATCTTAACTCAGTCAAAATGTCACAATCTGGAAACTGCGAGTCGCTAGAGATCGTATCAGTTAACCAATTTGTTAACAACCACAACGTTAAACTTGTATAGTATTTATTTAAGTCCCTCTTCCTCATAACTTTGTACGAGCAGGTTTTGTGTAAGAAGCACACTCTTTTTAATGAAGTCCATATACAATGTGAACATGCACGAGCGTAACTCATTAACTGAGATATGTAAACGCAATACGATGGAGCAGAGGGTTTGTTACTGCTGAGAAAAGGCACATTTACAATAGGAAAGTTGAATTTATCACGTTTGACATGGGTTATAGTTTGAAGTTGTCCATCTGTGTCAATAGCGATGAAAAGATCTAGATATAAAGCAGACCTTTGTCTTTCTGTAATATCCGTATCTCACGTTTACTGATCTATATGAGATTTACATTAAATTGTGATTAAAATCCATTTATGATGCAGTCCGTTCTCGTTTTTTAGGAAGATGGTTTTCAGAATTAAGCATAGATGCTTACAACCTACAGCAAGATAATTAACGTTGACTAAAGAGATATTATAATATATTTGTTAATACGTGTTAAAAATGTTTTGGAATATCCCAATGCGACAATTGCCAATATGTTTTGAAAATTGTTTGAGTACACAGTCGGAAATTATTGAATATATTCGTACCAGCTTTGAAAATTGTACAAAAGCGAGATTAGTTCAAATACATTTCATATTTCATGGAAAATTTTGGTACCGGAATATGTTTTTTGTCCGACATCTCGGTATTGACGCTCACATCTGCCCAGTTTGTCTTCTTGATCTTAACAAAAACTTGTCGATTATGCTTAAACGAGTCCGAGAAGAAAACACTGAAATTAATAGAATCGTAAACAGTAATTAAGATACAATTATTCTGCGGATCTTACATGTGCTCAATTTCAGACAAAGTGTACATCTATAAGCATGATTCAAAGAGACTGTACATGTGAACTGCAGGAACGTGCATTCATCAGTATTTGTATACATCGCAATACTATGGCTGTTTGTACTAGGATAACACTAAACATCATTAATATGATTGATTACATTAAATTAAAAGTATTTCTTTTTTTTTTTCAGTTAAATGCATGAAAAAATCCAAAGCCTTGAACAATAAAATAAAACCTGGTAAAGTGAAGGTCAAGGTTAATGGGATATCTCTGGGATCCCAACAGCCGATCGCAGAACATGTTGAAGGTTTTGCAGACCATATTGAATGATCAACATGCTAATATTACTTCCTTTTATGGATATGTCTTCTCAAACTCAAAAGTATAATTATATATAGCACTATGACAGATTCTTTGAAAAATTCTTTGATCGGTTAAAATTAACAGCCACATATATTTACATAAAACAAAAATTTGAAAACTTGGATGATAAATGTTTTATTAAAATATTTTTGTATGATTGAAATTGATTAAATAAAATGCACTTCTACTCGGAAGTTTCTATATATGCTCTTTTTCTACAACTGGGCTAGCGCTCGTGGTAAAATAGTTTGCGTTAAGGGCCAACCCATGGTAAAATCAATAAAGTCCAAGACCCCATCAATTATTTCTTAATTAACCAACATAAAACAAAAATAAAAAACAACGTCACTATAACGACATTTGTAGCTGTCTGTGGAGGTTTTTACTACAACTTTATAACTATAACAGTAGCACAAATGTAATTCTGATTTATTCCAAAAGAGAGGTGAAAGTTACCAATGGGATATTCAAACTGCCAATGCATAGCAAAAAACGAAAAACGACGAAAAGACGAACAACTGTACACAAAACACAACGTAGAAGAACTAATGACTGAGAAACACGAACCCCACCGAAAACCTTTGGTGATCTCAGGTGCTCCTGAAGGGTAAGCAGATCTTGCTCTACATGTGGCACCTGTTGTGTTGCTCATGTAAGTACAAACCCGGTGATAAGTCTAATTCTGAAGGTCACATTCGAGGAAAATGCAGTTCTATTAACACGGATTAATAGTCTTTTTGTCAATTACCGAATTAATTCTGTTGTTACACACTTTTAACACAATTTGTTTCCCTTTGCCAATTATAGACTGGTTTTATACCGGACAAAATGGACTGTTATCTGGACACTGACTCCGAGCCAACTTGTCTTTGCTCTTACCCCTTAATGCCACGTGATTAGCGGAGAAAGTTTTTTGTTTGACCCGGCCGGGGTCAGAACTCACGATATCCGGCAATCGAGGCGAAAACGCTACCACGAGACAACGGAGGCGGTGATTGTTTGTCTCATGAGTTTTTGCGCTGGGTGAAAAGTAAATGACTAACCAAGCGAGAATGTGCACTAAAATGTGCATGGTGTTTTAAAAGATGAGTATTTAATATTCGCAAATTAACTTCAACATACAAATGTGATTATCAATGTTTTATTCAAACTCGGAAAATAATACTATACACATCACCTTATTCTTAGAGAAGAGGGACGAAAGATACCAGAGGGACAGTCAAACTCACAGATCGAAAACAAACTGACAACGCCATGGCCAAAAATAAAAAGACAAACAGACAAATAATAGTACAAATGAAACAACATAGAAAACTAAAGACTAAGCAACACGAACCCCACCAAAAACTGGGGGTGATCTCAGGTGCTCCGAAAGGGTAAGCAGATCCTGCTCCACATGTGGCACCCTTCGTGTTGCTTATGTTATTACAAATCCGGTAAATAGTCTAATTCGGTAGGTCACATTTGTGAAAAGGGAAGGGTATTGTAGTTACGACATAAGGAACATATCCAATTTTATCTGTGAAACGGTTATTTCACAACGGTCAACCAACTCGTGATGGCGTCCGTAAAATTTACGAAGGGATGATTTCAACTTCACCATTTGGAACTCTTGGTTTAATAGCTTCCTTGTGAGCAGCAATCCTCTATCAAGGAAATCATGATAGGAAATTCAAGCCAGGGAATATCGTATCAATTGGGTGATATATACGCCGTATGCAGGCGCTGCTGGAATGTTGCTACATAGAAATGGAAAGTTCACAATTGGGAAGCTGAAATCATCTCTTTTGTCGTAAAGTTTTGTTTTCAACCGACCCTCATTGTCAATTTCTAGATGTAAGTCAAGATATGAGGCAGACTTAACTGTATCTGTAGTATCCTTTATCTCTAGTTTGATGGGATAGATTCGTTCAACATAGTCACCAAATTTTGTGTTATTTAGTGAGAGAACATCATCTATATAGCGGACGGTAAAGTTAAAGGATATTGCTAAATTCTTATCTTTCTTCCTGTATGAAGTCAGCCTCAAAATAATAAAGAAACAAGTCGGCAAGAAGAGGGGCACAATTGGTTCCCATTGGAATTCCGACAGTCTGTTGAAAAACACGTCCTCCAAACGTAACAAATATGTTGTCAATCAAGAAATCAAGCATCTTGATAATGTCAGTTTCAGAAATTTTTTTGTTTGAATCAGAGTGATTCTGTATGTATTCTGTATTCATAGCTGTATGTTTATGCGCATTTAAGTTGTGGTCTTCTTAAGAATTAAATACTAATTTCGGTGTTAAAGCGATGACCGAGGCACATTTTGTATGAAGCACGGAGGTTACAAAAGAAGCATTTAAAATATTATTACATTGTTATGCTACAACCATGAAATTACGAGATTTATCAAATTTTTCGTATGTTTTCCTATGCATTCTTGTGACGTTGTCAAGGGAAGTACGTGATATCATGTTTCTTGCTTGCAAAAAGGAATGAATGGAGACATTATGTTCAACATAAGTATTATTCTTCTTCTTTTGGATTCTATTCTCATACACACTTGTCCGGGCCTACACTTTGTATCGGTCTGACGAGTTATGCCTTTTTCAACTGATTTTTATAGTTTGTTTTTATGTTGTGCTGTAACACCACTGTCCCGGTTAAGTGTAGGGTTGAGCGCTCACAAACATGTTTAACCCCGCCACATTCTTTATGTTCCTGTCCTAAGTCAGGAGCCTGTAGTTCAGTGGTTGTCGTTGGTTCATGGTTCATGTCTGTCATATTTGTTGTTTTTTTTCGTAAATGGCTTTGTTATAAATTAGGCCGTCTGTTTGTTTTATATTTTTCATGTCGGGGCCTTTATAGCCGCCTATACGGTATGGGTTTTTCTCATTGTTGAATATGACGTCATTTGAACATGGGTGGATAGTTGTCTCATTGGCAATCATACCACATCGCCTTATTTGTATACTTATTTATTTTTTTTGACATTGACTGATGATATTTGGCATAAAGTGCATAACTATAAGATATCATATCAGTCTAATATCATTATGACCTTTACTTTTTATTTCTTGGTAAAATAATTCATGTTTTGCTCTTGGCCTATGACTTTTAACGTTAACTAATTGATTTTTATATGTCCAACCTAAAAACCATATATATATTTTTACAGGCTATGTCAATTCCTTTTTAATGCACCGAAGGATGTATCCTTTGAGGTCATATACCCCTTATATAATGACTCGTTAATTATTTCCAAAATGGTTTATATCCCCACCCATTGCCTTGATAATTATAAGCCATTTCTAATTCACCATAGATTTTGTACCCAGAGGACACATCCATCTGATATATTTCATTAACTGTGTTCAGACCCACCCCTAATTAGTAAATCCTTTATATTCTTGTTTTCATGAAAAGACCTTCACATTGAAACATAGGTTCTGTAGTTGTCTTTATTTAAAAACAAAGATTGCTGTTGCTAAGCAACATGTGTGTTTCTATGCTCGATATATAATTCGTCAAAAAAGATTAATGATAATCTAGATGTTTATACTATAGTGTAACATCATATGAGAAAGTATATTCTTCAAGAATTACTAAATTCATACTTTAGATAACATAACGAACCCATTATTGAACGGTTGCTATGTACTTGTTATGTAGCTAAGTTGTTGATAAGCATTTAGTGAACTACAATAATTATTGAACTGACTTTACATTTCTAACTAAAAGTTGTTCATAAACAGACAATCTGCATTGCATTTAATTTAATTTGTACAATAAAATGACTAATTAATAATTTTGTAGTTGTCTTTAACATTTGTGTTGCTATGCTCAATACGGAATTTGTTAAAAAGAATAAATGTGACTAAGATAGTATACTGGAATGCAACACCATATGAAAAAGAACAATTTTCAAACAAATGCTAAAGTCATACTTCAGAGGGAGAAAACACCCATTATCGAACCGCTGCTAGGCAACATTTCTGTTGCTAGTATTTTTTTAAACATATAGTAAAAGAAATTAAAGGGAATATTTATTTGTGACTTCAAGTTTTTCTAAAACAAACAATATTATTTGGAATTTATCTAATTTGTACTGATAAATCAATTAATATGTGATAATTTTGATATTTGATAAAAACCGTTGCTAGGTAAACTTCCTTTCACCGGAACACAATAAAATTATTGTTTTTTCTCAAGTTTCTATACTAAGCCAGCAATGATAATAATATAAACTTATTTGGAGAGGGGGCCAAAAACGCCCCTTATCGTACCTTGTCCTTTGAATAGTTTTTTACATTGTCCATATTTGGACCTTTTATAGCTGACTATACAATATGGATTCTTCTCTCATTGTTGAAGGCCGTATGTGACCTATAATTGCTTGTTTCCACGTTATTTGAACTCTTGTGGATAGTTTTCTCATTGGCAATCATACCACATCTCCTACTTTGTATACAGTTTGATAAGTTGAAAGTGATATATAAGCGTTTTAACCAACTTTAATATGAAATAACTAAAAACTAAAAATATGATATGTTTAGCTTAACAAAAGACTGAAAGTAATTTAAAAACTTGAAAACCATAAAGAGTACACACTTACGCACAGAAAAGTTTGCTCTTTCCACTAGTTCATCCATGTCCATGAAATTTATGGTTCTCCAAATGGGAACAACTCAAACATATGTATATCTAATTACCGGGGCGGAATTAGCAAATACATTATTGTTGGTTCCTATCTATTGGTTCATTTTTGTTAATGTCCAAAATGATGTTTGCTTCTCAGGTTCCCACCTTAACCTTAATGATTGTAGACTCTCCTCTCTTCTAGACCACTTCTTTTTTTCACATTTGCTCAACAACTTCAATATATCTCAATATGATTACATCTCCAATATACATACTTTAAATCATAGGAAAGACATAATAAGTCTACCGAAAACAAGAGGCATAACTAGACTTCGGAAAGCTACAGGCATAACTAGCCTTCAGAAAATTTTAAACATAATTAGACTAACGAAAGCTAGAGGCTTAACTAGACCACCGAAAGCTAAAAGCATGACTAGACTAACGAAAGTTTGTGGCATAACTAGACCATCGAAAACTGTAATTTTGCCCAGTTAAATGATTGATCTAGGGCACTTGTATTGTTATAGAAAAATCCCGATGAAGGAAAATCGAAAGTTAGTTACCGAAAATAGGCAGCTCTAATATTATAACTCTTAATTTCAGACGAAGTATATGTAAATTGTGGTACTAGCCTTAGATAACTCTAAGATATCCTATGGAGAACGTCTATTGTAATGTTGTCACATATTTAGACGTACAAAAATGTAAAAATGATATTGATGTGACTGCATGGTAAGTATATCATCTTTTACAACCGACAAAAAAAACTGATCTGCAACGTACCTTTAATGATAATATCATAAAATGATATAATATAAGTTAGATTTTCCAAGAGTAATTTTCTTTTTTTTTCAATTATGTTTTAGAATAAGGTAAACTCTAGTTTCCAAAGCCTCGTAGTACTGTTCATCCTACAATCTTATCGAAATGTCGTTGTCAAATTGCTCACACATTATTTAATTAGAAACACAATCATTGCTTCAAAATAAGGATTGTTTATTTATTTTTCCTGTTCTTGATATTATCCCACAGTATTGTATTAGCTATGTATTTTAATTTAAAAAGAGTAATCAATGGGAATATCAGTTGGATCTTTTGTCTTTCAAATATGCTAAATATCATTAAACCGCAATTGATTTAAACTTCCTAGTAACATGAATTTTCGTTACTCACTTCTTTTTGCGTATTGAATATACAACCGTGCACTTTTGTTACTCACTTCTTTTTACGAGTTTGGTTATACAATGTGCATTTTCGTTACTCACTTCTTTTTACGTGTTTGGTATACAACGTGTAATTTCAATCCTCACTTCTTCTTCCATCATTTGCATGTCGTTAAATGCAGAAAATAACTGTTAACTGTATTATTATAACTATTACATGTACATTGTGTTGATAATTATACAGATATTACAAAGCGTTTTTCATTACTTATTTTTTATATACTTTTTTCTGTGTTTGTGTGTGTGTGTGTGTGTTAAAACATTAAATGAATTCCCTCTACATGCTCATGATTGTATAAACTCAGAAACGTGGTCAGTGATTATCGTTGGTTATACCTTGATGGTTGTGTTTTTCGAAGAACTGTGTGCTAATTCCATGCAGATTTTTTGTTGCCGCTATTGGTTTATTCCCAAATTTTCTGAACTCTAAGAGATCGACATATTGTTTAGATATATGTCTATTTTTTTAGGCCGTACTTTAACCTATAGCTGTCATTTTCGTTTGTTTTGTGTAGTTTGGTTGTTATTTTATTTACGTTTGTCGTACATTTCCTTTCATTTCTATTTTAAAGTTGGGTTTAATTGACGTATATCCAATACCCTTTTCTTTTCATATCTATAATATATATTTTAAACTATACATTTCTTCATCATTATTATTTACATAATCAATGATCAATTATTACATTTTTATATAACAAGACTACAGTAGGATACTATTAAAGGTACGAATTTTCGTGGAAGGTGAAAGTTTGATGTTTGTATAAGATCAGTTTTGACCGACATGAAATGCCGACGAAAGCATCTTATTTTAGAGGATCTCGGGAGAATCATCGATTGGAACGTGATCGAATGTTTGAAAAGAAAATGAGGATTTCTTTTATTAGACAAAATACTTTCAACTTGATATCTGAAAACAAATTTGGAAGTTGTTCTTTTATAATGAGAGAAATTTTCAACTATTTAACGAACAGTGACAATTTACGTCGGTTTAATTCTGTAATGTCATTAATCAAAGTAACACAAAAGGCAACGGTTGTTTAAACTTGGTGATAATTAATTTGAACAATACATATACTATTTTTGTAAAATTATTCGGTATCAAATTTGCATTGTTAGTTTATCTATTACAAATTTAATTGGACAAATAATTCCAAACGAATAACCAACCGCCGCTATTTAATCTTTATGGTATTTATACATTGACTGCATTGTGCTATCAACATTGTTGCTGAATTGTTTGGTACATTTGGTTATTATAGATAGGTCTTGAATTTCCGTAAATTAGGTAAGTAACATAAATGTTGGGGAAATGAACATCCAGTCATTTTTTTATCCGTTCATTGAAATACCATTATAACTCGTAACACATTACTACATTGGTATTGACCATGTTGACCTGCTGGATTACAGATCACGTTATATTACTTTAGGCCTACGATACGTTCAACCGTTCCGTATTCCTCTATGACGCAAATATTTCGCGACGTTCAAGCAATGGATGCGTGTGTCAAACTTTCGAAATGCTGACTTGAAGATTGTACATTATTAGCCAATTATCTAGTGTCATCTATGTAGACAGCAAGCCTTTATATAAAAAAAATCGGATACGAAATGCAAGCAGTGCAGTCACATCAACTGTAAGATTTATACTCCATATACAGGCGTTGTTGGAATTTTGCAATATAAAATGGAGATTTCAGATTGGCAATTTTTTTTCAAAATATTAAGTCCACAGGTTTAATATTGGTTATATGTGCATCTTTTCCTACAAATCACGAAGTTTTAGCCTCTTGAAAATCTTCAAAATATATCTGAAATGAATCCATAAAAGGGAGGCACATAATCAATGTTCATAGTAAATGCACTGTTTAAAGATTAAAAGTTCTTAGGCTAAAAACTGTGGGAAGAGTTTATTACACCAGATGGTACCCTTTCTTCCTTTTAAGGCCGGCTTTCATCAAATTATATAGCAAGACGGATTTGCATTGTGGGCAACCCGTCCAAAAGTTTTGACCATGAGTAAACCCTCTTTAAGTCAAAAACTTAGTCGCAATTAATTTTAAAAGGCAAAAATTTTAAGTATTGAGTATATATAGCTTTAATTTACAAGGATGAACAGTGGCTATGTTTGTGTCTTTCGCGACTCATATCCCTCTGTTTTCCTTCTCCCCTATATGCAGGTTCTATTTGCTTTCAGCAATCCCTTTGTACCGTGTCGGTGTTCAAAATGGAAGAGATATATGAAGGAACTCATATTATGTTTTCCTCTCTGAATAAATGTATTGGAATATTTTCCGTAAGGAATAATACATTAAAATTGTTTATAAAGACGTTTCTAGAAGGAATATGTAATAAGGAACAAATGTACGTTGATATCATTACTATTCGGTTAAAATACAGGATTCAGTTGATACACGGGTAATTTAAGTCTTCAAATCACTTTCGTGTTCTGATACAATACCCATATTTAAAGTCTAATTTGTTTTTGGTGGGGTTCGTGTTGCTTAGTCTTTAGTTTTCTATGTTGTGTCATCTGTACTATTATTTGTCGGTTTGTCTTTTTATTTTTGGCCATGGCGTTGTCAGTTTATTTTCGATCTATGAGTTTGACTGTCCCTCTGATATCTTTCGTCCCTCTTTTGTCAATCTCATCGACGTCTATATATTATCTTTTCGTAACACATCTATAGAGCGATATGTTCAACTATTTAATGAACGAGGACAATTAATGTCAGTTTAACTCTATATTATCAGTGATTAAAGATATACAGAAAACAATGGCTTTTTAAATTAGGTGATAATTAACTTGAACAAGGAAGTCCAACTTTTTTGTAAAATTATTCGGTATCAAATTTGCATTGTCAGTTACAAATTCAATTGGACAGTTTATCCCAAAAGAATAACTTACCTCCATTATTTCATCGTTATGTTATTGCTACCTTGACTGCACTGTGCCATAACATTGTTGTTGAATTATTTTAAACATTTGGTTATTATAGACATGTTTTGAATTTCATTAAATTAAGTTTTTAATTTGTGGGGAAATTAACATCCACTCTTTACTTTAATCTGTTTAAAATGTATCGTTATTACTCATACGAATTACAATATTGGCAAAGACTTTACTTTAGGCTTACGATAAGATGATAATTTTTGTCATCGATGCTCATCAACTTCGCACTTCGAAATTGATTTATCAACTGTAAGATATATAATTCATATACATGTTGCAATATAAAATTCAAGCGTTGGAATGTTGCGATACAAAATGGGAAACTTTTCATAAAGTTACGTCCTCAAATGTCCTATCTGTCAACTTCTAGGTGTAAGTAAAAGTATATATAAATAAGTATATGAACTATGAACATCAAAATTATTTATTTTGTAAAAATATTTCCTTTCTCTATTTGAACTGTACACGTATACCTAACAACAAAATTATTTTCATTTACCTGTCAGTAATTGCAAACGGCTGATATTTTTGTTCGAGCATATTGTTTTTTCTTAAATTGTTTAACATTTCATAGCGGTATAACATGTACCTTTTATTATTCCTCCCTTAGTTTATTTATTTTGTATTTACATTGTATCATAGGTTAAATTTATTAGTTCAGTGTATGTTCACTGGTGTTAATATGTCCTTTTGATTGAGTTAAGCTATTTCATTTGATATTTTATAGTGTGTCTTTCTATGTTGTTATGATACACTATTGTTTCAGAAAAAGGGTGAAGGTTTTGTACCATTAAAACGTTTAAACCCGCTGCATTTGTTTGCACCTGTCCTAAGTCAGGAATCTGATGTTCGGTAGTTGTCGTTTGTTGATGTGGTTCATAAGTGTTTCTCGTTTCTCGTTTTTTTTTATATAGATTAGACCGTTGGTTTTCTCGTTTGAATGGTTTTACACTAGTAATTTTTGGGGCCCTCTATAGCTTGCTGTTCGGTGTGAGCCAAGGCTCCGTGTTGAAGACCGTACTTTGACCTATAATGGTTTACTTTTATAAATTTTGACTTGGATGGAGAGTTGTCTCATTGGCACTCATACCACATCTTCTTATATCTATATATGGAGAAGAACGTGCTTCTTAGATCTTCAGGATTATCTAGGTGCAAACACTCTGTTTAGTTTAATTCATACTGCTAATGATTGTAAATTTTATTTATAATCTGTTAAATCTCTCTTTCGAAAAATGATAATGATTGATTGCCTCTTATATTCAATTATTTTTAAACATTCGGTGGTCAAGTGGTAGAGTTCTCACCTTGGTTATGGGAAGCTTATGTTATTTACTTGTATTTATCTCTTCGTATTAAGAATAGCATGTTACCCCTTGTCACAACGGGGAGGTTGAAGTGGGGTTTTGCGCAGGATAACTGTTTAATAATTAATGTTATTTGGAATAAAATTCTATTCAGCTCTTAGTTGTATGATGAAACTCTGTGTCCCATTTGTGGTCATAGTGATTCTGCATCTATACAAAATTTTTCTCTATTTTTCAAAAACCCTGGATAATCTGTATATGTTTTCATAAAATATACGGACTTTTTATCTGTTTGTCTCGGATTGAGTTATCTGGAGAATACATGTAAAACCTATACAATATCATACATAAAAAAATGAAAACAACACGTTTAATAATTTCATGCGTCCGAAGCGCTTTTCTGGATTTACCTTCATCAGGAACGCTCAAAGCCAAACATTTGAAATCCGAGTGCCTTTCAGTAATGCTTTAGAAATGAGTATGAACTCATTTTAATTGTCAGGAGGATTTTTCTACAAAAAAAAGCCTCGCATCTATTGAGACCGTCGTAGATTGAAACTGTAATCTGTGTGTGTCTTAAACGATGGCGCAAAATTAATATTTAATTTTGGGCGCAACTGAAATGTGACATTTTGGTGCAAAAATTGGCCCGATGCAATGTGCCCAGAGAAATACGATCAAGAAATCTACTTGTATGATGCAAAGGAACGTTTGATTAAAGGGGTATTAATTCATCGCAGTGTTCTTCTTTCCAATTATTTAACAATATGCTACATTTAGAACATATTAACACGAGGAATGTAGGGCTAGTTTTTGGATAAACAAAACTATTATAATATCTCTGGTTTATTCAATTACTTAAGTTTTTTTCTTTGTTGACAATATTGCAAAATATTTTAAATTAACTGAGATGGAGATAACATCAATTCGTTAAAATAGCACATGTCAAATGTTGCATTGATATGCATACAAAATATTAAAGGTCTAAACGTAGATTATTCCAATGAGCTTATATAAAATGTAGTACTCTTATCGACATACTTTGAAAATATCAAGCAATCGATAAACAATAGTAGGAGAAGGATTTAACCCGGTAAACAAATATAGTTTTGATTCATTTTTTCGATAATCATACATTTCATTTGTGTTCAACGACACAAAACTTTCCCCTTTTCAAGCCTGAGGTGTAATATATTTCACTAAACTGGGGATTTAAGAACCACATCAGTAGGATATCATGTGCAATTAATTATATTTTAATAATATTGTATTGCAATGGATAAGCAATAGGATTGGTCACATATTATCGCAACTTATATTTAGGCCTCCTCTCACACAAATACATGGACAGAAAAAACATATATGTTAAACACGGGTGTCATGTTCAATTTACCTTTTAAACAAGAAAACCTAGAGGTATTGAAAGTTATTGGAATTTATTTAAAAAATGTTTTGAACTCAGTTTTATAAAACAACGAACTTCATCGAGAACTGTACATATGAATAAGAAGATGTGGTATAAGTGCCATTACATGCATCACCAAGGGGCAATAGACTCAATTATAATAAATAACACCCTTCTATATATCAGTATTTTAAAGATACAAGACCAAAAGAGTTACCATCCCTTTTAGCTCATCTGGCTAGTGTGAGCTATTGCTATCGCTTTGCGCCCGTCGTCTGTGCACGTTTACAAAAATCTTTTCCTCTGATGAAATTTTTGGGCAACATTACAAAATAAGTTGGCCACAACTTTCTTAAGGGTTTCTAGTTTAAAAATATGTCAGATGGTTCAGTCTTCCAACCAACATGACCGCCAAAGCTAATTTTTTAAGATAGGGATAAAATGAAAGTATTGTCTATGATCGTGGAAACTGTTATAGATAGGGACACCTGATGGGCAGAATTGTTAAGAATGATGATATTTGCCTTCCATCCATTTGGACTAAAATACGACCCCTCAGAAGAATTGTTGCCCTTTAATGGTAATTTTTACTATTCATTTTTGTTTTTATCTATAATCTT